TTGGGATATAACATAAATATTTCAGTAATAGGTATGGTTCAACAAAACCGCAAGCGTAGCTGTTAGGGATGGAATAAAAACAACATTCACATGTGATAAATCATTATAGCACACCTGTGACTGATTTACAAAGCCGCTGTGACTTAATTATTATTATTAAGCTGGCGCAAGACTCGCGACAGGTCTAAATCTAAAAAAAGGTTATCTTCGATGAAAATAATTTTGATTGATTTCAATGCCATTTATATTTGTCAATGACGAAATCACAATTACATGTGAAATAGCTGTGACTGAAACCAATAATTTCATCAAATCAATATGATATAAAAGTAGCAAAAATTTCCATGTCTAGTTGCTGTGGTAATGATTCATACGCCCCGTCCGATTTTTGTTTTAAGCAAGATTTTTGTTTTTTCTGCTTTTCACGAATAGTGAGTGAGATTACCACAAGCCCAACCAGCCCGCCTCTGAATTTGGGGCGGGGGTTGCAGATCTTCATGGGTGATGGTAGCCACTTATCATCAGGTGACCCGTATGCTCGTTTGCCCTCTATATAATAATGAAATATGTATTTCAGAAAGAGAAAGGTTTACAACTAGATTGTTTTGTGTATGTTACAACATACACAAAACAATCTTGTTGAAAATTCGCGTTCACCTTCGCCATTTCAGAACCGATTTCAGTATTTGTTTTCTTATTTAATTAGCTATTCTAGAGATTTCGCCGATTTAAATTTGAAAAGAATACACCGCTTTTCATCATCATCGTCAGCCTATCGCAGTCCACTGCTAAACATAGGCCTCTCCCATTGCACGCCACTTAGATCGATTTTGGGCTTCTCGCATGCAGCTCCTGCCAGTCATCTTGCGCAAATCGTCACTCCACCTGGGCCTCAATTCTGCTATTTTATGTTCACGCCAAGCCATTGTCATATCACTGACACGCTATTGAGATGGAAATCAAAAAACATAATATATTTTCAAATTATAAGGAAATGATTTATTTATTTTCCAAATATGGCAATCTTTTTGATATCACTACTGATGAGCCACTCCCATTCCATCGCCACTGTAAAGACACTGAGTTAGTGTAGACTACCGATATTTATACCGATGCCAATGGCCACTTGATGGCATCTCAATAGCGTGTCAGTGGAATGACAGTGTCTTGGCGTGAACATAAAATAGCAGAATTGAGGCCCTGGCCTGTGGGCGTCCTACACTACGTTTGCCGAGACGCGGTTCAGCTCAAGAACTCTTTCCAAAACGATTGTGGGTTCTGCGGCTAATATGGCCAGCCCACTGCCACTCCGCTTTTAAACGTGGAAAATTAAAGTGTGAAAAATACAGCTAATCAATTAAAAAAAAAAGAAGATACTTTTGATAATCCTGATTTGAGTTTACTAAGAGGTATATACATTTACATAGTTATGAATAGAAACATTAGTAAACCACTTAAAGGTGTAATTTAAAAGGTGTCCAGACAGACTTTTTGTTATAATAATGCATATGTCTAGCCCCAAAGCGTTGGGTCGTCTGGTCCTTACACCCGAGTTTGTTGACATCAACTTCAAACATTATACCTAAAGTTTTTTTCTAGAACTTTTCAATGATAATAACCTTTTTAGTTTAAATGGTAGACTATATCTATATACATATAAAACACAGTTTTGTGTAATATTTTAGTACCTTTTTTGTATTGGGCTTGTTATTTTTGTTATACGTATCTTATCAATTCTGATAAGTCAATAAAATATAGGTACCTACTCCCTTGGAACATCAAAGTTTTGTCATGCGTGTATCGTTTTTGTAAACTCTCGACGCAAAAAGATTTTTATATATTTAACATGCATCTGTTTATCTAAATGTCTGTTCGTGGTATCATAGCTCCTAAACAGATGGACCATTTTTTATTAAATATAGTCGGAACTAAATATCGCAAATTAGTTCTACACGAGCAAAATACCTAAGATTATACAGATTGGTTGTATTTAAACAGCTGCGGATGCTATCTGGATTAAGACGTGAAGTGTACATTTCATCAATAAACTATTTAATATGTCAAATACGAAATGGCATAAGACCCTACTCGACACAAAGTTTATTTATTCAAAGCCGTAATTAGAATTATCATAAATTAAAGTCGGCGAAAACTGGTCACTCGCTTTGTTTAGTTTGCGAATATTAACAAGTTTTTTGTTTTGTTGTTTGAGAGATTACTATTTCCTTTGGAGGAATTTCTTATAAGTTTAATACGCCTCTGCATAATGTATATATTGTTTTACATAATATATTACAATTAGTTCAGAAGAATTGCAAAGTCCAACATTTATGGGTATTTGACGAGATCGCATTTGTATTCAATCCACGTTTTATCTATTCGACCTTTAAGATCGTTGGTAATCAGTCAATCAGTATATAATTTACTTCAGAATAAGCCGAGTGGAATATTTATTAGTAGTTTATATATTTTATTAATTAATATACCTAAACAAATTTCATCGACGACAGTATTTAGAAAAAACTTGTTTTAATCTCTTTAAATTTTATGGTTCAGTAGGAAACAACAAAGTAATAGTAGTAGGAAGGTGTGTAGTAGTCATCGTGGTATTTTTTTCTATGATAGAGGGGGGGGGGGGGCATCAAGCAGAACTACCGCTGTCCGTGGTAATGTACATTAATTTTTTTTCCTTTATCATATGGGGCAAAACGAGCAGACGGGTCACCCGTAGCGTATGTCAAAGGCGGGCAACTACCTTTGAGTTACAGGTGTGGAACTCAAAGTAAAAGCCCGCCTTTGACATACGCTCTTTTCTTGAAGGAGGTCGTATTTACCATTGTTCAACAGATAAACATAGCAAGACAAAAACAGTAGGTATATATATAATAATATATAATATATTCTACCACATACACACAACGCCATCTAGTCCCAAACTAAGCAGAGCTTGTACTATGGGCACTAGACAACTGATATAAATACATATATACTTTTTTTTTTTGTAAATACATACATATTATACATAGAAACACCCAGACCAAATCAAACATCAAATGTTCATGCACACAAATGTTTGACTTGAGCGGGAATCGAACCCGCGACCTTTGGAATAGCAGTCCGTTACACAAACCACTACGCCATCCAGTTTAACGAATTGTACTTTGCTCACTTTAGCCGGTAAGTAAGTTGGTAACACTAACCCCATTAATAGTTATACTAAACTTGAGCTGAAATTGCGAGGGACAAATACTTTTCTTTAACTAAAGGAAGTTTAGAGACTCCCTAAGTCACGTCAGCGACATAACACGCAACCTACTATATTTTATGTTAAGTGAATGAGTTGCGGGTCGAGTGCCTTTTCGGGGATTGATAAATTTCCTTTTAGGAAATGACTGAGTGAAGCGACGAAAGTAATTTTCATGCCAGTTGTCTGTAAGTTTATAGACTAATGTATAATACCTATTTACTCACTGTTGCATGCATCTATTTATCATTTTAGATATTTCTTATCAAACTACATATTCCACTTCCACTACAAAAATTATACAATTTAAGTAAAAATAGATACAGAACCATCAACATTACACACGCAATGTCGACTTGAATACTTGACACTTTTCAGATATTATTTTGCAAAAGCTTTTTTTTTTGTATTTCGTATAAATAATAATATTACAAACAACGCAAGACATGCTGACCATGCAACTAATAACTATTTTTTATTAAATCTAGCTTCTACAAGGCAACTCAAGCCTATAACAGTTAACTGTACATGAATTAGATATTTAAGCCTCTATGTTAACATTTAATGTTTAAACAAAAATAAACTAATAAAAACAAAATTAGTAAATATTCAAATCACATTAGTAAAAATTAAGAAACACACAAAAAAATAAAAAAAACTGCTTACAGTGATTCAAAAAAGTTCATCTGATCTATGGGGTTCGTACTGGTTGTGGAGGAAAAATAAAAAAAAATTAGTGCACCAAAATAAAAATGAAAAAAAAAAACTGTTATTTACGGGGGGGTATCATTGTAATGTGTGATAACCGACACCAGTGACCCCATAAAGCGAAGCGAAAAATACCAGGTCTATAATAATCTTAAATAAAGGAAATAAAGAAATGATAAAAATGTAAGGTATAGTTATTTAATAAAATAGTTGACATTTCTATGGACTCTGTTTTGTATACAAAAATGTTAATAATCATTGTTGATACGAGACAATAGAAGACAATGGCATTGCTGAATCAATATATTTTTTGTGCTACAGAAAATAGTAATGTTCATTAATAATAACTTTTTACAACTAACTGCCGTGTGTATAATAAAGATTTATTGATTAAGAATGTGCTGACATTGGTATTCCTGTATTTGTTACGTTTTAATATGAACTTAGCGGGTTTACCAAATTATATGGATCTTATAATGTATTTTATTTTTTTCAAGGTAAATTGTGACACATTTTGAGGCAGAAGTAACAAGTGTAAAGAGAAATGGAAGCTGGAGGGTAAACGTGAAACTTGATGATTTTACTTTCAAGTGAATACCTTGATGATAGTAAAAAGGATATCAAATGTAATATTTTAACATTCATATGTGTTACTTTTTCACTTTAATAATAAGTTTCGAATCAATTCTGAGAATTATAATCGTACTAGCATCTTAATTGTACTATGATTTTACTTCAATTATATTGTGTGAATTTGAGCTCACTTTAATGACATCAAATATGGTGTAATATATTTAAAATCCTTGATTGTCTTTTATTAAAAAAAAATAGCATCAACAATGATCATTAACAAACAACTGTTGTAGTTAAAATGACATTTCTTTGTTACAGCATGTTACATGTAACATCACATGTAACACATGTCCAGTCAACTATTTCTGCGACACAGAGCACTTGACATTGTTTGTCGGCATATTGTACCTTTTAGCCCATAGCAGAATATAAATTCATTGTGGTTATAGTAGCATAATATTGCCGGGAATCTCACCTGCGCGCTGCCCAGAAGAAACCGGCCGAGTCAACAGGCTCTAGAAGCCTCGGCGTGGAGGAACCGAACGCAAAGGCTGGCCTTGGTGCGGATCGTGCCGCGCGCTGTCGCTCTAAGCGTTCGGTGCGATCGCGCTCGCGTTGCAGTAACGCCTCGCGTCGCGATATCGATGCTTCCCATATCGCGCGTTTGCGTTCTTCTACCTGGAATAGGAATACTGGTTAGATATTTGTATACCTAATTTTATTTGTAACACAAAAAAATACTTTCAGTATCATCATCAACAGCCTTTACTAGTACACTGCTGGACATAGGCGTCTAATGAGAAATGAGGTGTTTTGCAAAGCAGTTAGGTGTAAACTTTTCTTTGCCTAATACTTTTAGGAAAATAGGTGAGATGCTTAAATTTCGTATTATAATTTTGCTTTAAACAATGAACACTGCAATTTTTGTAAATAATAAAATTTTGATTTTATTTTCTCAAAGACAAGAGTATTCACCAAGAAAAAAGTACTGTTTCCGCTGAGCAGATTATTTGGCAAAGTGTACTTCAACGTCGATAAAGCATTGCCTGCATGCTTGCGACATTATCTTATGACGATTAACTTTTTTTTAATAATGTAGCAACCATTGTTTTTATTTTTCTTTATATAGGAAAGACTCTTTTTAGTTGGCTCAATAGAATGTCAACAAAGCACATGGATTTAAGTTTGGTCTTAATTAATTAAGAATGATCACTCTCATTTCAAAACTCAATTAAATTGTAGATGTAAATATCATCAGCATCATCATCAACAGCCTTTAATAGTCCACTGCTGGACATAAGCCTCTCCTTAGAAAGGAGGTTTTAGCTTACTATACCACGCTGGCCAGACGGGTTGGTGTCAAGTTTTCCTTCTCTCTGCAGTGCTGTTGTTCTGGTAGTTTTTTTCCTTTAGTCGGCTCTTACGACACCCACGGGATGAATAGGGGTGGTGACACACTGTATTTTTAATCCGTCACCACAGGGATGTAAATATAATATAAATAATTGCAATTATATTCTTACAGGGGTATGACTACACAGAAGACTCGTCAGGTACTTGTATGTAAATATTAGCACAACAGTGAGACTTTTTTTAAAGTTGAGCTCTAATAGTGGAAATTTAATTCCAGAATTATCAAGAAAACACAATCGCGAGAATACTGATTAAAAGCTGTGCGATATTTAATAACATAAATATCAGAATACCGTTTGCTTAAATACATCATTCCAATTTCGAGACAGGACTTCCTTTTAACAAAGTTGTAAACAAGCACAAGGTAAGCGATTACCGGTTAAATCTGTAGATTCCGTACTTCGCCGTTTGTACAAAATCAATATTTCAAAAGTCACACACTGCAGTGCCGTTTCCACATACCTGTCCTGCCCTACCTACACGATATGTATGAATCACTCCTCATGCCGCACTAGTTTTTGATTATCCTCGCTACGTTTGCGGGCAGCCGTCCCGCAATATAATCCCCTGCCAGACATCAATACTCACATTTATTATTACCCACGTGTATAGTATTTATAGAGTGGGTAAGTTGAAGTTATTTCTATAAACAAAAGAATTTCATAATCCTTTTTTACTTATCTTGTACCTCCCTATTTAAATAGTTAAAATAAAAACTCAATCGTTTTGTTTTCTAGATTTTTAAAGGTTATTTTTGCTCAAAATCCCTAAATCATATACGAGGGGTGATCAATAAGTAATGATAATCGAGTATTTCTAGAACGCACAAAAACCCAAATTATTTTTTTTCTGCTTGCTTATATATCCACTACTTCAGCTTCAAAAAAATGTATAAATAGGACACCATTACCGGGAGATACATTCATTTGAATACGAACTGTCGAAGAGAAAACATCAAAATGGAGAAAAATGAAATAAGAGCTGTCATCAAGTACATCTGCCTGAAAAAAATGTCTACCAAAGACATACACAGCGACTTAGAGGAAACATTGGGGGAGTCTGCTCCTCCATATTCCACAGTCGCACGCTGGGCAAAGGAATTTAAGCTGGGCAGAACCTCCACTGAAGATGAACATCGCGAGGGACGCCCTTCCACGTCCCTTACTGGAGAGAACGTCAAAAAAGTGGAAGTTATCGTGTTGGCCGATCGAAGGGTGACGGTAAGGCATGTAGCTGAGGTCACAGGGATCTCCTATGGCAGCGTTCAAAAAATCATTGTCAACAAAATGCATATGAAAAAGGTCTCTGCGCGTTGGGTACCGAGAATGTTAACCGACGAGCAAAAAAAGAAACGAGTCGACATTTCGAGGGTGAATCTTCAAAAGTTCCAGGCCGATAAAGAATTTTTTTTGTCGCGTTTTGTGACCATGGACGAGACCTGGATCCACCATTTTGATCCCGAAACCAAACAACAATCAATGACTTGGAAACGAGCTTCCTCACCAACGCCGAAGAAATTTAAAGTGTCAAGTTCAGCGGAAAAGGTTATGGCGTCTGTTTTCTGGGATGCAGAAGGAATTATTATGGTGGAATATTTGGAAAAGGGGGCCACTATAACAGGCTCTTACTACGCAGGCCAAATAAGAAGATTGCGAGAAGCTATTAAGTCAAAAAGACGCGGTAAACTGCGCGCTGGAGTGCTGTTTCACCAAGACAACGCCCCGGCTCACAAAGCCGCAGTTGCGATGGCTGCCATTGAAGAAACGGGGTTCGAACTGCTCGAACACCCTCCCTATTCGCCAGATCTAGCTCCCAGTGACTTCTACCTCTTTCCTCGGCTCAAAGAACACCTCCGGGGCAACAAATTTGAGGACAATAGTGAAGTGATGGCCGCAGTAGAGGCATTTTGGGAGGGTCAAGACAAAGAATTTTTTTCTAAGGGAATCATGGGCTTAGAAAAAAGATACACTAAATGTATTAACTTGCAAGGAGACTATGTTGAAAAATAAAATACTTTTTTTAATCTAATAGTTCTGTTTCATATTGATTATCATTACTTATTGATCACCCCTCGTACACATATAAAATAAAATTAATCTTCACTACACTTCATTGCTTTTTTTTTAATGGAAGGGGGCAGACTAGCAGACGGGTCACCTCGTGTAACGTGACTACCGCTGCCCATGAACGCCTGCAACTCAGGATTAAGAAACGCGTTACGTGCCTTTTAGGAAGGAGGACGCTGTTTTCTTGAAGGTTATCAGTTTACTATGATATTCTAACTATACATGATATATACTATTATTTAAAACATTCCTACACGCGTAAAGTAATTCTTTAAACAATGGTGAATTGATTATCATCACATCACATCAATAACCTTTAATAGTCCACTGCTTGACATAGGCCTCTCTTTAGAAAGGAGGTTTTGGCCATAAATCCTTTAAAATGCCATGCCAAACTATAACTAGATTAAGTTCTGTAGACTTCAAATAAGTTTAATGTATTTTTGGCGTGACTCGGTTTTTTACGTAAATGAATTCATATGTTTTTTTGTTATTCTAGTTCATAGTTACATAAAATACGTGCAATATGCATACATAATACAAAACAAAAAAAAAGCATTAAAGAAAATATTTAACAGAGAATTTTAACCTGACTTCACTTATTTTTTATTTTAGAATTTTAATTTATATAAGTACATGATAAATATATTTATAACATAAGAACTTTGAGATTATAATTAACAGATATACTCGTATAACACAACGCCAGTAGAATTGGAAGACCGCTAGGTGTTTTCTAGTGATGTGTTGTGTAATTTTTACACGTCAAACCATATCAATTCTGACGTCCAGGAGAAATACGAGTGTCACCACCCCTATTCATCCTGAGGCTGTCGTAAAGCCGACTGAGGGAGGAAGGAAGCAAAAGTTAACACAGCGTGGTATAGTAGGCCAAAACTTCCGTTCTCAGGAGAGGCCTAACATATGTCCAGCAGGACTATTAAATACTATTGATAATGAGTGATTTTTCATGTTAGGGACCACTTTTAAATTATTGTAATTATATGATATTTATATTAAACTAAACAGTTTAATCATAACTTCAATAATTATAAAGCGGTATTTAATAGCGGTATTATTTTAAAGGAAACAAAGAATTGTATCAATTGCCGTCACGGGTGGACTGCCGCGGATTAAGTCCCGGTTTACATCTCATATGCATAGTCGCAAAACTTAAATATCCGTCTTTTTTATAATTATTATAATATGTTTACTGAATACATTTACTTCTAAAATAAATTTTCAACACCAGGGCTCGTACTAGACATACGCGCTTGTTCAGTGTTCCTCTGCACCGCACCAATTATGGTAAGAATGCTGTTCTCACTCGTTTGCCTAGGTGTTACAATGATAATTTTGACGAAATTGACATCTTCCACCTCTCATAAAGTGCCTTTAGAAAAAAACAAGTCACTAAAAAGTTGCAATCATAGTTGTGAATCCAAATCAAGATTGTTTTTGCAAGTTGCTTTCTTTTGGAATACTTCTCACTCTGCACAATATACCTAATATACCTAAATTAGAGATAGTATATAATTTTTATAATTGCCTATGTTTAAGCGGTGCACGCAATTTTTTACTTATCGGGAAACTTTATTATTGGCTAAGAGTCCATTAAAATGTTTAACTTCACCCATGATATATGTAACATAGCTGTTACGTTTCCAAATAAATAAACACTAAATCGGATAATGCAGAGATTGCTGCTGCAGCATTTGCGCTCAGTGTTTACGGGCAGTGGTCTATGTCAGTTTAAGATCTTCTACTTTTAGTGTAGTTTCTTACGAATACATACATATTCTCATTTATTGCACACAAACACTCTTATCAGGGTGATAGGTACTATTTATTGCACACCATGGTTAGGAAACATACAATGCAGAATTTAAACAAATAAATCTGTGATACCATGGGCGGCCTTATTGCAGTCTGCGATGAGTACAAGTAGAAAAGTACAGTAGAGCTTTACAGTAGTATCATCACACATCTCACCTTCTATATAGCGGCTAAATCTAGCAAAACGCATACTTATTAGTCAAATTAAATAGCGAGCTCTTGGTCGGCTTCCTGTTGCCCACGACGACAAACATTAGCGAAAACGATACCCAGATGTGCTTAAGACCGCGCCTGTTATGAACTTCCAGAAGAAAAGTGGAAGCACATTTTGATTTTCAGTTTTAAATATGACTGCATCAACTG